GTTTTCCACTGAAAGCAAAGGATTCTCGAAACGATACGACCAGGATTCTGCTTCGAATTATTGTTTAATTAGGATTAGGTCTGCTCTTCAGGAGCTGCACAGTGATTCGATTTCTCAGAGCTCGGAAGGTTAAAATAAGAAAGGATTGGCTGGAAGGGATTCGGGTCAGCGGTTTAAAGGGGAAGAGTTCGAGACCTTGCAATAAATCCTCATCCCTGAATTTTCGTCAATCCCTGAATATTTGACATAAGATTTTTAGCCACGAGAGTTGCCTCTCTGACATATCGACGTGACATCGATATATTTTTGGAATTTCATACGCGTGATATTTCTTAATTCCTGTTCTATGGAAACACTATGTTGCACTTTCATTTTGTTTTATATTATCTATCTTTATTTCCTATTTTGGAAATTCAATTCTTTTCTAGTAGAGTTATTTATTTATTTACATTTACACCGTGAATGATGTTTATATGTTAGAAAGTAAATAGGTAAAAGGATGGAAGAGAATATCAAATATGACAGGTTCGAAAATTACAGGTGTTTCTGAAAGTATAGTGATTTATTGAAACGCCATTTGAAGATGGAAAAAGGAGAAAAGAAATCTGCTATAAAGTGTAACAAAATTTCAAGATTTAATCTACAGATTGGTTCTGATTCAAAATTCTATATTATATTTTGCACGATCAGTTATTATTGTATTATATATACAACAAAGTTTTGTTAATAATATTTTTATTCTTCGAGATGAAAAAGAATCATAAACTAATATTTTCCTCTCATATTTGGCACCCTAACTTCGGTCTTCATTAATACTGAGTGTAACAACATTTGATTCTCATAGTTTCTGCTTTACCTCACTATTTAAGCTACAAATGAATACCAAAATTCTGTACAGTATTTTGTTAATAATATTTTATCCTTCAAGATCAAAAAGAATAACGAATTCTCCTCTCATAATAATTAGCACTAAAATTTTGATTTCTGTCGTTCCTGATAATTAATCAATTAGTACATCAAATAACAAATACTAAAATTCTGTACTGTACATGATCAGTATCATTTATCATTATCCAATGTCATTATCCTATACATACAACAAAATTTTATTAATAATATTTTATCCTCCAAGATCAAAGAGAATCACGAACTAACATTCTCCCCTTATAATAATTAGTACTAAAATTTTGATCTCTGTCGTTCCTGATAATTAAGCAATTAGTACATCAAATAACAAATACTAAAATTCTGTACTGTACATGACCAGTGATCATCCTATTATACATACAACAAAATTTTGTTAACAATATTTTATCCTCCAAGATCAAAGAGAATCACTAACTAACATTCTCCTCCGATAATAATTAGCATTGAAATTTTGATTTATGTCGTTCCTGGTAATTAATCAATTAGTATATCAAGTAACAAATACTAAAATTCTGTACTGTACATGACCAGTCACCATTCTATTATATATAAAACAAAATCTTATTAATAGTATTTTATCCTCCAAGATCAAAAAGAATAATAATAATAACTAATATTCCCCTCTCATAGTAATTGGCGCTAAAATTTTGACCCCTGTCGTTCCTGATAATTCACCAATTAGTACATCGAATAATTAGTACATCGAATAACAAATTTATATTTCACCTTTACCTTTTTATCTCGCGTTGTTACCAGAAATTATAAATTCCCCATTATACGTCCATCCTTATTATTTCCCCCGGCTTATGCCTTCCACGTATCCCGCAACAAAATCTTATTACCGTGATGCTTTTGTTCCCCGATTACTTTCGTCTCTCAAGGATTTAAGCTCGTCCGGAAAAGAACAATTGCATGCAAATCCTCGTGGAGATCGTCGCGAGGTACAGCGTGCTTTCGCAGAACCACGCCATTTGCATGATCTTTACAATTGCACAGCTGGAATTGCTGTTCGTGTGAACGTTTTGGTCCAAGGGTCGTATCCTGGACGAAGCTCGCGTTTTAAAGCGGCCATCAGCGTCGCCGGAAGTCGAGGGCTTTGTGGCGAACGCCATTAAAATTCGAACGCCATCAAGTTCGATTAAATCGTCGAACAACACCGATATTCGTCTCATTATTATTATTATTATTATTATTATTATTATTATTATTATTCTCATTATTATTTTTTCGTTTTAAAAATTTTTAACGAGTCGAAGAAAGAACGGCTTCTTTCATCGCGAGATACTAGTCGTTGCACGGTTTATCCTGCACGAAATCATGCGATTTTATATGCTCACCGTGGCGTGAAATTGAAAAACACACGATCACGACGGGTTCGCGAACACTTTCGATGAATATCGACACTCGGTAAATAAATGTCGTTCGCATATAAATGACGGGGAAAAAGAAATGACGAATCGATTCGTAGTGTACCAGAGTGCGGAAGGATATTTCAGTGGGATCGAGATTTAAAATTGAAATCTTGGCGATAACGCGATGCCGATATTTAGAATTTGTTTTTTAAAAAACGGGACGCGTTTTATTTCGTTTCGTTGATTTTTAGCAGAGATTGGCGAATTTCTGATTTCTACGATTATCGAAGATGTGTGTACACGTGTGCGAGTGATTGGGAAAGTAGTATAAGTCGCGTATTTCTCGTCCTGAAGTATTAAAAGCTTTGTGATTTAAATATCCTATATATTAATAAGATAATGAGGATAAATCTGTGAACTTCGACGCGTTTTATTTCGTTTCGTTGATTTTTAGCAGAGATTGGCGAATTTCTGGTTTCTACGATTATCGAAGATGTGTGTACACGTGTGCGAGTGATTGGGAAAGTAGTATAAGTCGCGTATTTCTCGTCCTGAAGTATTAAAAGCTTCTTGATTTAAATATCCTATAAATTAATAAGATAATGAGGAAAAATCTATGAATTTGATATAAAAATGAAATTTCTTGCTATTTTTACAAAAATTATTTCGTTCTATTACAATATAAATGGATGCAATTACTTTTGGGAGGATTTCTTATTTACATCACTTTCATCATTATTTTGCACTTACTTTTGAGAAGATTAATATTGATTATTTATTAAGGTAAAATCGTGACTGTATATTTTTATTGTGATATTTCAAGTGCTATTAATTATGTCTACTATCTTCAGGTACACATTGCAGTAGGTCATTACTGAAACACTAAAATCAGTCACCATTTCAGTCACTTGACATTTATTATTAATTTTAATACTTCTAAATCCCAGTCAGTAATTACAATATTTTAATTACTATCAACTATGCCAATTATTTTTAGGTACACATTACACTAGGCCAGTAGAAGAATTAAATGACAAAGGATACTAAAACAAGTCACGATTTTAATTACTCGATTTTTACTATTAATTTTAATATTTCTAAATCCCAGTCAGTAATTACAATATTTTAATTACTATCAACTATGCCAATTATTTTTAGGTACACATTACACTAGGTCAGTAGAAACAAGAAAAGATACTACAACAAATAATGATTTTTCTCACCTAACACGCTTAGTTTCAATTTTTATTTTATTCAATTCGGAGAATTTCCAATGTAACAAAATTGGATGTAATTCTCTCGACTGTTAAAATTTTTGCGTCGGACGCATGTGGGAGTTATTGACAGAAACCAGGGCTGTGTTCAGGATTGCTCGTTTTTGATCGATCCGTCGCGAGAAGCCGTAACGAAACTCATTCTATGTGCACGCAATAATGTAAATATCACGTAACTCCGAAGAATAATTGAAACGAAAGAGACACATCGATCTTGGGCTAACTTCGTAACTTCTTCCTCCGGTACAACGCGATATCGCTGAATTTGTAACTCCGCTGCTCGACAGAAAGAAATTCGAAGCATCGAGGAGTATTCGTGAAATATCGGAGAACCATAAAGTCACTGAACCGTTCCGAAAATTAGATTTTGCGACGAATTTTACCTCGCAACTGGAAATCGGTCCCCGATTCCTGATTTTCAATTTCTTTTCGATCCTCTGCCGTCTAATTCCATTTTCCATCTTCGTTTATAGCTCTCCACTTGTTCGTCCACGATTGAATTTTCTTCATCTCTCAGATCTCAAGTTTATATTATTAATTACCAAGTTTCCAGGATTAATTTTTCCTCGTCAATCGTTCGTAGCTTTTATCATTAATTTTCGCTCCTCGATCCTCGCCACTTGATATTCACTTTATAATCCTGCGTTGTAAACCTCGAATCCTCGTTTTGTAACTCCCGGTTTCTAATTCTGACATGGATCGTACATTAACCTGCCACAGGAAATGCATCCCCTTTTCTCTTATTTCCATAATATTTCACTCTTAGATATTTCGTTCAAAGAGGCAGACAAGTTTCTGAATTTTTCATTTGGAGGGTCAAAGAACAATCAAAACTCGTGTATTTCTAATTCTTTTGTTTTAAAAAATAAATTTATGCAATTAATAAAATAAATAAAACTTTTAATAAAATATTTTTATTTTATTTTATAAAAAATTATTTATTTTATTTTTAAAAATTGTTATTTTAATAAAATAAAATGAATTGGATAAATTAAAAGAAATATTAATTTCTGTATATTGATTCTTTGCTCTCCATTGACGTCATTGTAGAAACACTAACAGTCCTCGAGATGATTTTCTAATTCATCTTCACTGATAAAGATTACAGGGTGTAAATAAATTTAATAATAATTTATAAATTTATGGACTGGATAAATTAAAAGAAATTTTTATTTCTGTATATTGATTCTTTGCTCTCCATTGACTCCATTATAGAGACATTGTTAGTCTTCGAGATAATTTTCTAATTCATCTTCACTGATAAAGATGACAGAATATAAATAAATTTGAAAATAATTTTGATTAATTCTTTTTCGAAATTTAATTTTTGCTTTCAAAATACGTTCTACCACGGACTATGTTAGGGTTGTTGATGGAATAAAAATATTCTCAGAGTGCGAAGAATTAAAATTCGGAAATCCTTAAACTATTCGAGGTAGCCATTTTTAATTTATATGTCAAATAAAAAGAAAAGTCAAAGAATTATTCGAAATATTTAAATATTTATAACTATATTGAAATATAGTTTAAGTTTTTAACCCTTTGCATTCGACCATTTTTTGACTGAAGAAGAGTAGGAGTTCAAAAATTTTCTGCTACAAAGCTGACGATGTTATTTTGAGCAGTAAATAAGAAATTGTATAATAATTAACACGTAGAATTATTTAATTTCGATACCTCGCACACTGTTACGTTATTTTAAATTTGACATATTAATTAATATAGATCTTCGAAATTTTATCAAATGGTGACTGAAAGGCATCTCTCGAGTGCAAAGGGTTAATATTCATATACAATATTATATGTAATATTAAATACTAATTTGTAATATATAATATATAATATTAGTATATAATATTAAAAGTGAATTAAAAATTCGAATCAACTATTTGGCATTTCTCTGCTGTTAGTATGACATTTATACGGTTATATACTTATCTTGGCACACGCAATTTAAACAGAAAGCAGCTTCGGATTACAGTAGAATTTATGCGAAATTCTGTCTTCTAAAATAATTCCGCACACGATGATCGATGAGATTAAGATGGAGGCTTCTCGATGATCATTTCTCAGCGACGAATGCTGATAAGTTTGCTCTCAGTCAACATTGGGTCACTTCAGTTTGGTACAGGATTCCATTGAAATTCCAACGTGTCCCAGCCATTACCTATAATTCACTGGTTTAACTACCTTATCGTCGTTTCGCATTTCCATCATAACTTTGCGACAAAGCATTTATGAACTTTTTTATTCCACGTTTGTCTCAATACTGAGGACATCCCGACGGAGTTGACACGGGAAAGCCTGTGAAACCGAACACGTAATTTCTAATTATTTTTATTCCTTTCGGAAAATATTTTCCCAACGAGACATTCAATATTTCCAAAGTAATAATGAAACGATAATTTAATTTCCTCTGCAACGACGTGTTCCAATCCTATCCTGGCACCTCATCTATCAATTTCTTCGTCGAATCCGGAGTAACGTTTCCCCATTCTAATTGTAATAATTCCTACAAATGTCTCCCTTAATATTTCCTCCAAAATTCACTGTCTCGATCATTAAAAACATTTTCTAATTTCGCAATTACGGGGATAATCATTTTTTCTTGGTATCTAGGTTGGAAATATGTTATGAGAAGAGATGTATAACATAATTTGCAATTTGAACTTTGTCTTATTTTCCTATTTGGTTCTTGATGGTCTCAGATGTCACAGAATGTGAATTTTAGCACACATTATTTCGTGGTACTAGTTTACCACGTGTTTCAATTATTTTTCAAAATTTCCACATATTTACGACATGTGTTCACAGACTATACATCTATAAATCCATCGTCTATAAACACCTACGATATCTAAAATAAATTCGTCGAATCCTTGACTCCGAATATTCTTTGGTCCTTAATGGTACTCTCAGACGTCACTGAATACGAATCCCAGTACTAATTTACCACGTGTTCCAATTATTCTTCAAAATTCCCACATATTTACGATCTACGTAATATTCTTTGATCCTTAACGATACTCTCAGACGTCGAAGAAAACGAATTTCAGCAAACATCATTCCTCAGTAATAATTCACCACGCGTTTCAATTATTTTTCAAAATTCCCACATATTTATAATCTGCGTTCATGGACTATGCATCCATAAATCCATCTCGCCTTTAAACACGTATGATATCTAAGATAAATCCTTCGAATATTCTCTGGTCCTTAATGGTATTCTCAGACGTCACAGGATACGAATTCTAGTATTAATTTACCACGTGTTCCAATTATTTTTCAAAATTCCCACATATTTATAATCTGCGTTCACAGACTATGCATCCATAAAACCATCGCTTATAAACACGTATGATATCTAAGATAAATCCTTCGAATATTCTCTGGTCCTTAATGGTACTCTCAGACGTCACAGGATACGAATTCTAGTATTAATTTACCACATGTTCCAATTATTTTTCAAAATTCCCACATATTTATAATCTGCGTTCACAGACTATGCATCCATAAAACCATCGCTTATAAACACGTATGATATCTAAGATAAATCCTTCGAATATTCTCTGGTCCTTAATGGTACTCTCAGACGTCACAGGATACGAATTCTAGTATTAATTTACCACGTGTTCCAATTATTTTTCAAAATTCCCACATATTTATAATCTGCGTTCACAGACTATGCATCCATAAAACCATCGCCTATAAACACGTACGATATCCAAAATAAATCCGTCGAATCCTCGACTGCGAACAATATGAAAAACGAACGATGGAAAACCATGCGAGCCAATTTCGAAACTTTTTATCCTTCTTTTATCCTGCAGCATCCACGAACGACCGAGAAAGCCTCGCTGAACCTGTTTTCCACGGCGTCTTACGCGTTCACCGTGTCGCCGTAATTTGAATTCCCGGTCGAAGGAAAACTCTTTTGCTCTTGGCGGAAGCCGGTAGAAGCTAGCCATGGGGAATAACGGGTCGACTGAAGCCTCAAAAATCGTCTCTTTTTCCCTTCCCTCTTTCTATGGTACAATCGATACGTCCCGCGGCTCGTAAACGCTCGTACGTCTATGACGCGAGTAGCTTCCGTTTTAATGATCCATCCCTTCCGGTGTAACGCCGGTAATCCATAAGACGGCCTCGTGCACAGGCTGACGCCTTCACAGGAATATCAAATCGCGATTTATGCGCGTTCGAATCGAGCATTGCCGTGTATCTGTCGCAATAACGCTAGGTATAGGTACACACAGGACCGGGCTCGATCCTGGCCTGGAGTCGGGAAATTATTGGAGCTGGTTCAGGCTCGATAGGAATGCGAAAAGTGAGCAGATGGAGGAAGAGCTGTTCATGGCCTTTTTAGCTTCCAGGCGAACGGGTTGGGTGGTCTTGTCACGCGTTTCCACTTTAATGCCGATATCCGTAGGAAGCATTGATGCGTGCACTGGAATGAGTAGCAGTGTCACGATAGAATAACTATGGGGTAGTTTGGATAATAAAATATTCGAATATTAGGTAACAGGAGGTTCGAATGTTACGGTATTTATGGATTGAATGGCAATATCAGACTGGTTCTACTGTTTAATACGAAATTTCATTTGTAATATACATCGGGTAATTTTAGGTAGAATTTCCCTTGTTGGAAACGCGTAATGCGAGTACAAAATGCAATGGTGCTGACATATGAGAGTCTACGAGAGAACAGATATAATATTGTTACAAAATTTCGGAAAATTGACAAGGTCCAAAAGAAATTTTGAAAATTGCGATGGA